ATCCTGAAACAAGCAAGATCCTGAACAAGCAAATCCTGAACAAGGCAAGAGATCAGGGGCACAAATTAAAAGATGTTAAGGATGTCCCTTTCTCCCTGGAATATAAGGGGTTGGAGACAAGGTGCCAGCAGAGGCTGCAGGAACTGTGGAACAATATTTAGAGACGGAGCTGTGCTGGTAATTTTAAGTTTAGGCTGATGGCTGAATATTCAAAAAAAAAGATTTCAGAGAGACATAGGACCAGAGAGATGGAAACATTTATTCATCAAATCTGATACCCTTCCAGCAGAAGTGTAGAGAAAAGAACATAAACACATGAAATCTGGGGCCAAGGGACTGTATTTCACAGTACCCTTTTATACGAGACAGCCGTTTCGTAAGTAAACACTGAAACTATACTGAGACCAGAAGTCCACGCAAACATAAATTCCATGAAGGATAGTCCAAATCAAGAGGAGGTTTATCCGCGTCACGTCCTTTCTCCATTCCCCACCACAGGGACTATCCCRGTCCGTTCGCGCCAGTGCCGTGCTCTGCCTGCCCACACTTGACAGCGCTCTGTGCACCCGGGCCTTTCTGGCACACACCAGATGTTTCGTCCTCAGGGAAGGACTTTTGTATTCTGATAAACCACTTTGTACTCTCCTGTCAGCAGCGGAATTAAAAAAAAAAAAAAAAAAGAAAAAGAAAAAAACAGAAAAAAAACTATCTAGACAGAATGTTTTAATCCCAGATGTTCTCCACAAAGCACTATGGCAAGGCAGGCCTGTGTGTTTTCATAAATCTTGCGTGCTTYGTGAAATGCAGGGCGTATAATATATTTCTTTTCTCTTAAAGAGTCTGGACAGCCCCTACTTTTCCTTAATACCTCTTTGTCATCTCGCTCTGTAATAAAAGGCAAGCAAACAAGCAAGCAGACAACACTTGCTCCCTACTAATGAGAACAAGCCTCTATGGGTTTCTGCGGACTCGTTTCTTGTGCAGGAGGATCCTTTTCTCTTTCCTGCCTTGCTGAGTTTTGCTTATCGACTCTTTAAAAGGCTTTTGTCCAGCGGCACCTCCGTCGCTGCAGTCCCTCGGGAAAGGAGCGGGCTGGAGGCTCCTGTTTTGCTGTTTTAAGGAGCAGCCCTGTGACACCACAGTGAATATCCAGGACTGCAGAAGAGCCGGACACGGCGTCCCTCCCGCCCTCCAGCACTAGCCAAAGGCTTCAGAAGACTACTACTGGTTTGTTGAATCCCTCTGGGCCACTAGGACYGCCTGCACCCCTGCACTGCTTTGCTTTGCGTGTTGCTGTTTGTTTTATGACAATTGGCAGTTGCACATTTGCTATTAAACACGCTGGTGGTTCCCATTCTGCCCTAATTCTACCCTTGCTCACCCATTTCACCTTACCCCAGGCTCCTTTACCCTACTCTCCCTTTTCCTCTCATCCATCCCACCCTGGTCCCCTTTTCTCCCTGCGCATGTATGWGCTCCACCTCCCCATGCCAGATCTCACACACAGGAACGCGCAGGAGGCTCCATCCTGGAACACCGCGGGTGCCATTTCCCRTGTACCTGGTACAGCCGGACACAGCGGGGTTTGCACCTAGTGACCTGTCCCCATAGGTGTTTACATACACGCATACACACTGCACCCATGGGCACTAAACAAACACCCACTGCACCCGCACACACTACACTCGCACGCACTGCACCCATAGGTACAACAGTCACACACACTGCATCCACCGGTGCAACAGCCACA